AAGACAAATGCGGATACGACCAAGCGGAACGCGAACGGTAGTAGCCGGACGCAGAATGCGATTATGAGCAAATTGAAAAGGAGCCCGCCTAAATGCGTCAAATCGGCCGAATCGTCCTTGGAGGAAGATGTAACCGCGACGAGCAAAATACCGACGAAATTCGCCAGAACCGACAGTAAACCGACGAAAAAGTTGCCGGAGAACAAGAGATCGCCGGAGAAGGTAGTGAGCGAAATGTGCAAAAGATCGCCGTCCAAGGAGAAATCGAAAGAGAGGGAGTTGATAGTTAAGGAAAGAAAACCTTTTGTGGAAAAACAATCGAGGGAAGTTAAAAGACCCGCGCCTTCCTCGGACTCCTCGGCATCGTCATCCGTGGATAGAATAAAGCTAGACAAAGTGGATTCACTGAAAAAATCGTCAGACCAATCGTCAGAATTTCTGCGTAGAATCGTGGACGATAAGAACACCCATGTGGCATCCATTATCAATAATGAAGATAAGAAAATGACTAAAACCAAAAGGAACATTAATTCGGTAGTAGGTAGAAATGAGTCGGTCACGAAGATCGACAAAGGCGAGGAAATCGATAAGAATAAGATTAAGAAGCTGGTCAAGTCGAAAGAAAATGCGAGTAAAGATGAGACCAACGATTCTAGGAAGAAGAGAATAGTGCGTGTCGTGAAGAAAGTCGTCAAGAAATCCGACAGTTCCGAAAGCAAGTCCGACGAGAAGGAAAAGTCATCGAAGTTACTAACGAAGAAGAAAACTGTGACGACGAAGAAAGAGAAGAGTCCTGACGGTCCGACTGTCATGGCGAAAGATTCGATCGAAGGACATGATGATCAGATTACCGCGAAATTATCGCAATCACATTGCGCGCCTGTGAAACAGGCGGAATCGGACCTGCCAGCGAAGTCCAGGGATGCTACGAAAAATTCAAATACGAATCAGATAAAAGCTGATGTTAAAGGAACAGATAAATTCAATGTAAACGTGTCGTCTACTGACGTCTCGCAGGTGAATTCCGCGCTTGGGAACGTATCGAATTCTCAAAGCATTTTAAGCGAGTTGCCTCCTGTAGGCTCCTCGAATCCTACAGCTCGGGTCGATTCGAATTTTAATATCTGTCAATCGAAGCAACAACCATTAGAACAAAATCGGCCGAATAGAGCGAATTTGAAACTCGATCTCTCTAAGATACCGCAACACACGTTTAGACACGCGACTCCCAAGAGAGATTCACCTGAATGTGGTTCACCGAAAACGAGACCTACCACGTCTATTGGATCGTCCAAAATCGACGATCCTGTGGCGGAGAGTGGTTCTGACAAATTGATGGAACATCTATCCAAGATGACGCACCACGCCAACATTACCGGCAACAAGATAATCATCGACAAGCCGTTACGAGCGAAAGACGTCGCTGAGCTGAAGCGAGAGGTCATCGAATGTGCCAGGATCATAGAGAATCACATGGATTTGCGAGACGATCGCTCCAATCAGCGGACCGTCGATCATGCACTCGCCTTGAACGAACCAAAAGAGATCAAGTCGAATCCTTCTGAAGGGATCAGTGACGTGACTAAAGAGGTGACTAAAGAGCCATCGGATGATTACACCAGCGAGATGTTCTCGCCCGAGGAACCTGAAAGTTTTGATTCCTGGTCGATCTGTTCGGCCGATCTGAATCACAATCGCAGCGATTTGCATTCGCCCACATCGCCATCGTATTCTCTGTTTATGCGTGGCTCCGACAGCTCGGAATCGGTGATAGATCGAATACGAAGACGCAGCTTTTACTCGAGATTCAACGATCGTAAGAGGCCATCCTTGACGGCGCCGCCACCAGGAGTGAACAGCGTCACTCTGCCTAGAAGGTTCAGCTTCAACAGTTCTAGAGAAAGGGAGCGCGACAGATTGTACAATTATGGAGTTACTAGGACGAGGTAAATTCACTGTACGAGATTTGCTTCTCTTTCTGACACTTTTTGCCTTAAAAAAAAAATTAATTAAATGTCGCGGTCCAGACGTAATAAGAAAAGCAAATCGAACTATTGTTTTCACAATTCGTAGCTTCACGAGCCAAACGTTCTTCTACTGTTGTTGGTTATTTAAAATATTTCGTAGGGAGAAGGACAAAAGTTATATTTTGTATGGCGACGACGAGGTGTCCTCGAGGAAATCGCCGATCGACCGAGAGAGGTATAACGACGCATCGAATGTATCGTCGTACAGTCATCAGATGGATGCGAGAATCTTCGATCATTACGGTAGTGGCTTACCGTCTTCCTCGCATGATTCTTTGAGGAGATACGTCAAGTCCCCGACGTTGGATCTTGTCGCCTCTCGCGCCAAGTATCATAGCACAGACGTCATCGCGGACAACGATCTTGGCGGAGTCTCGTGCAAGAGTTCTCTGTCGAGATCGTTTCTGAGTGACGGCATGGCGGATTCTTCTTACTACGGTAGGAGCACGTCGACTACTTTGCCAAAAAAATACGGCTCCACCGTTGGTGGTCTGGAACCAAAGAGCGTAGAATATTACGAGGAGATCTTGTCACCGAGCAATCCCGGTTATCTGTCGCCACGCGACACCTGCCGATCGCCGTTGATGGATATCTATTTGAACAGATGTGAGAACGGATGCAATCACAATGGTAATTTGGAATTACAACAGTTTAGCGCCGATAAACCAAGAGCCTACACGGATACGGAGATCGTTCAAGGGAATGGTAAGTCGCTTGGTGAGCAGAAAAGTTATCATATGTATTATAGAGTGTTTCTTTTAAATAACACCCACTAATCATATAGTGCTATTCTTGATAAAAAACTGATTGTGAGTCGAAGTCTTTTACTGTAAAATTTTGTAAAATTTTTACAATAGTTAACGAGATTTTAATTTTAAAAAATTGTTGAATAAACGAATAAAATCGATACAATTTTAAGATATCTTTTAGTGTTCTTTGTGAAATATTTTCAAGATGTTTTTTAAAGAACTCTCAAAGATATCTTGTTTTATGCGTTGATTTTAAACATTTTGCTCAATGGATAATTAAAAAAAATATTGCTGAAATCGCAAAATAATAGAGGACTTTTCGAATCAGTTTTTTTATTCATTATCAATAGCACTATAGGATTAGTGGAGAAACTTTTATAATGAGAAAATATACAGTAAAAAATTGATAAAGAATGAACATACATTCATTTGTACAAAATTGAATTTTCTGAGGTTTTATTTTAATTATTCGCCAACATTTATACCCGTTTTTATTGTATATTGTCGATCTCATTAATTACCAATTTTTTTTTAATTCTTCATCTTTGATATGCATAAAAAATTTTTCTTTTTCAGAAACATAATACAACGCTTCAGCGAAAAGAGGAATGCCTCCTCGACAGCTGTGGATAGCCTAACGAATACATTTGTTACCGAATGAAATTGATTTATAATTCAGACAGAATGTAATTCTGCAAAATGATAATATACCGTACATATTTAGCTTTTAACGATTTTATAATACAGATTCGCGTCAAAATGTCTCGCACTTCTTCGTCATAGCGATGAAATAGTCGCGATGGCAATAAAAATGAAACGATGAATATTAAATGATTGAATATACACATCTCTCTCGTTATATTAAAATATACGCTTAAATTAAAATTTTAAAATTACTGTTTTAGATACGGTTAAAAATCTTTTTCATGGTTCTAATTGTATCTGAATCAGTGATGAATTTTGTTATACAGAAATAAGTTTTACAGAAGTTTCTATTTATTTTCCTTTTTTTTCAAATTATATCAAAGTTACAAAGAAATATAAAAGAAAATATTGTACTTATTTTTTATTGCACACAAATCTTAACTTTTGAAAAATATAACTGAATTGACATCTCTTATAACTGTAAACGCGTGCTAAGAGAGCACTTCGTCTCTGATATTTATAGAAATATAAATATAAAGGTTGGTAGCTGCCTCCTATTAGAATTATCGCAGCGACGAGATAAGAGAAGATCTTGCCATTTATTTCATCGGTCTAACTTGCGTTCCAAAGCGTCAATTTAATAAATTTAAACTGCACACGATAGGTATTATTTTTTAAATAGAAAAATATATCAGATCTGTTTATCTTTTGTCATAATTATATATTCGTAGTGTGAGAATAAAAATAACTTGTATAAATTCAGAAAAACTGGAGGAAGAAGATTATAATTCTATAGCGTCACGGCGTGATGTTAATAACCAACGAATCGCTGATAATCGAAGCAGGGTGACGCTTTAGGGTGCAATAGGCCAAAGACTAGTAAAAAAAAAAAGCGTGAACGGCGCATTTTAGTTCCTTACGTGAGTAATGCTTTATACAGTCGGATTTTCGTAATTCTTCCGTTTATATTCTTTTCGCTATTTTTTCTCTCAGTTTATTGCGCTGCTCTTTCATTATTTTACGCCCGTCACTTGACTATGTACATACGACGTAGAATAAAAATATGAAATAATAAGAAAAAGAGAGAGAGGGAGAGAGGAGAGAGAGAGAGAGAGAGAGAGAGAGAAAAAGAGAGAGCAAGAAGACAAGTAAGGAAAGGGAACGAAAAGACAAAAAGGAAGAGATATGAAAGTTTGACTTTGTACGTACTTATGAAAATAGTTTTTAATTGGATCGATCAGAGATTGCGAGAAAAGAAACAGCGATATTATATTAGGCCTAAAAAGTTTTGCCTGATCAGCCTCACGGTCTTCCGCTTGTTACGTATGTGTTTTCTATTGATATATACATATTTTAAAATAAATATCGGTACTCTCTTCAACTATTTTGTCTTTTAAGCTATTTTACTCTTCTTTTACCCTTCACGAATGCGAGCGCTCTATTTAATCGCGTGATATTACGCGAATGACAGTTCTTGAGATTTGACAGTCAACTTTTCTGCTTCGTTTACGAAATAATAGCTTAATACAACTCGCGCGTTCAATTCACAACGACTAGAGGATTTAACTTGAACAAATTTATGGCGACCAATTTGCTGATAAATCCTGTAAAACTGCGCTTTTATATAGAAAGATACAGAAAGGAGAATAAATTGATAAATGTGCGAGAAACGTTTGTGCCTACTACTTATACAAAATCGTTGACTGGTAAATTCTATGCGAAGCACGATGCTTTCTCTCCGTTGGACGTTAGACAGGACGATATCAATTTGATTAAACGACAGATGCAGATGATACCCACAGACATTTATTCATTCAGACCGCCGACAGTAAACATGGAGTAAGTTGACAAAACATTCTAGTAATAAAAACATAAATAAAAACTAATTAAGTTTCTTACAAATTGTTTTATAGATACGGCTGGTTCGCTGCATCACTTATACCCATTTCGAAAGATCCAAGATTACTCTTCTCCAGAAAACAATCGGATTTCGTCACGAATGAACTCTTACGTCGAAAACTACAAAAAGGTCTTCCGGAAAAACGATTTTCTGGCGTGCCATTTAGAACATAAATGTTTGAGACATTTCAAACAAATTAAAAAGCAGAATAAAATTAATTTATAATTAACGGTTCAACAATAATTTTTAAAATAAATATATTTTAAAGAAAGAAATCTTTTAACAATAACAGCATCGCTAAATATTTGACGCTAAAGTCAGCTGAACTTGATAAAATTCGATACATTGATTCGAGCGATGTTGTGTCGCTGTTGTGTTGCTGTTCCTTGGCAACAAGTACCGTGGTAACTCTTTCGCAAGATGGGTCTTTAACGTGTACGCTCTTTTACCGAACAAAGTCCAAATAAAAGTAGGACCTGGACTCGGATATTCAACCTAAGCGTACAAGTCGAAAATTTATACTTTGCTATGGTCCATCATGAAGTTATCAAAGTGATAACTTCGATAGTAATCTGCACGTATGTATACAAATTTTGGCAACAATGCTACCTATTAATCGTATATAATTAATGAAAATGTCATTAGATAATTGGACGGGATGACAGGCAGAGCTTTTCGTATTAAAGTGCAGCTAGATGTACACGCGGTATGTATGTATGATTTTTCTGGAGTGCTATATTCTGTAACTGTTTTTACACGTCTGTCGACAGTTATTGGTGTCGTTGCGCAGCTTTTTTGCCATACAAAATATCTGCGCAACGACATCGACAACTGTCGGTAGAGGTGTGTAAAAACAGGATAGTACTCCTGTTTTATTTTGGTGACTTTTCTTTACACGGCATGATTTTAGGTAACATGTCCTGGCGTTTGGTTATGCCCCAACGGCAAAGTGGCTCTGCGAATCAACGCTCTTGATTCTTGTGCGGAATCCCATGCAACAAGCCCGATTTTACCGCTCTTGTTCCATGACAAATTCACTTTTGATAAAATCTTTTATGGAATAATTTCCTTGACGGAGCTACAAAATACTTTGGAGCAAGAATTTTTATACGCGGAATTGATACAGTGGGCGACTCCGGCTAGCCGAGATATTATTTTAGCAACGTTTGAAACAAATTTGGCAGAATTGCTGTATCCTGCGCCGTGTTTCAAAGGTTTACTAGCCGGTGTGGATGTTGACCTTCTTATGGAGCCGACTAAATGTTTTCCCGTAGGTCTTTTGCACCTATTCGTTATAATTGTAAAAAATCTAATTGTAAGAAAACTTTTCACCGGACAAAACGATTGTTTTTTACCTCAGGGTATAATAGCACCTAAAATCGAGATCTCCACCAAAACAGTTATCGAGGAAATCATAGAATTCTGTGACACAAGCAAATGTTATATCATTAATCGAAACATTAGCTCTAAGGTATTTTCTAAATACAAATTGAAATCGACTAACACATATGTCGTTTATAATTAGCAAATTTATGTAATATGGTCCTGTATATATGTACAATAAATTTTAGCAAACGGCGTGTAGACAGAGAAAAAGACCGATTAATGGTATTATAAGACAGCGAAGAGTGTGTCACACTAAAAATAAACCGAGATCTCAAAGCTGTCAACCGTAAGCATTATTATATTATTGTTATTATCACATGTTATTAATGATATATAAATATAAGTTACGTATATAAAATAGATTCCGTCAGAGATCGAGCGATTCTCATCAATGTCCTTCGTGTACCACGAGTCGTCAAACAGAATCGCAAATTGATCAGTGTTATCACTCAAGGAGAAATTCGATGTGCACTTGTCGACCAGATTTCCCAAAGTTAGCCAGATCTACCATTATACGTGACAAAACTCATGTTACAGATAACTGCCCAGTTTGTTTCAAGTATAATAATTATTATTTTCCCAAATATAATGATTGTGATATAATCAAGAAATCCTATAAGCAAAGATACTGCCGAAATTTATCTGATATTAGAGAATGTGGTTGTATTTGTAGAAACGGCGCATTCGACACCCATGAGGAAGTAGTGATGCCATTGTGAGTACACTGAAAATGGACGAATTTCTTCGAACATTTATATACACAAGGTTTGTTTTTTATTCTTGCACTGTCTGAACTAGTGTACACGGTTTAAACGTATATATTTGTTTCACTTCAACTTATTGAATCGCGTACACCAGTTTAGACAGTGTAGGAATAAAAAAAAACAGACCATACATATATGTGTGTACATGTGCGCGCGCGCATTTTTCCTCTTTAAAATAAATTTAACAAAATTTCTCTACTTTTTACCGAGATACTTCATATCCACTGAGTTTTTATGAAGTGCGAGAAAACTGCAAGTATATTTCTGAATTTATGAATGGTAATAAACGCGCGCGTGCACGTGTGCGCACACACACACCACACACGCACACACACACACGCACACATTAATTCTACATATATGCATGTCTTCACAGATTACAATCTAAACTCGAAAATCTTCAAAAAGCTAAAGAAAAATGGTATTCTACTGAAATAATGGACAAGTAAGTAATTAAAATTTTTTGTTCTGCAATGAACGTTTAAATTAAAAAAAAAAATGATTTCAGTCTTGAGGAATGCAATCCGAAATGCGAATACACTCAAGATTATTCTCCGAGCCATGGTTTTTATAAAAATTTGGAAAAATTTTACAAAAGAATGTATAAGCAAGCGAAAATGCGTGCACAAGAGATCGACGATTGATATGAAAAATATCATTGTCATTCAGGTTTTTTTCTAAAATGCGATTTTTATATCTTTATGGATACTGCCCAAATTGGCGTTACAAATCCTTTGAAACATTTGATCAACCAATTAAAAAAAATTGTACTAATGGACTAATAAAACATTTCGAAACATCAAGGAAACCGTAACCAATATTACAAAATTCTGTAATACATAGATTGCTTTATGTATGTGTGTGTATTGTTTATATATAATATATATATATATATATATATATATAGTTTATATATATCTGTAATATTAAACTATCTTATTTAATAAAAGAATAAATTTTTTTTATTGCAATTAAGTATTAATTAAAACATAAGTTATGTACGAGTATTAATATGTTAAACTTACGCCTGCGCCGATCTCTTTGGCATCAGACTTTCTATTTACGCCACGTCAGTTCCAAAATATCTCTCCAGTTGTGGCGTAAACAGAAAATTTAATGAAATAGGCTCGATGTCAGGACGATTATATAATCAATAACATAAAAGATACAGTATTGTTCTTTAAAGCAGATTTATCAAATATTTTAAAAAGTTTTTGGGTCTGGCGTGGCCTTTATGTGTTAATATTTGTTCAATTGTTAAATATTCGCATTTTTGCAAAGACACTGTAATTGATATAAACATATAGTACAATGTCCTTTATCACAGTTTTACGAAATAAAAATATTATAAGTAATAAATATGTGAATAAATCAATTATATATATAAACGTTAGGAAATATATATGTAAAGTGTGGGAATATATTTAGATTATATGTACAATATACATATATAAAAAAAAATTATTTATTTGCTATATGCTTGGCGTCCACTTTTGTATGTTGGCGTATCTAAAATTCGTTTACCACGTAGAGTAACAGATTTCTTCAAAAGTGCCGGTGTTCTTAGGTATAAGCCGCGACCTTGTGGATTCCAAGCCTTCAATAAAACACGGTCAGCTTCTTCAGCAGCGATTGCTATCCATCCTGCAATAATTATAAAATCATGATTGTAAAGGTACATTTTCACGAACTGCTCAAACCGGATGTTTCAACGACAAAAAGGATCATACAATTAAAATTAATTCTGAATATTCGTAATTTTAATCACGTAATCCTTTTTGCCACTGAAACAGTCGGTTTGAGCGACTCGTGAAAATGTACCATGAGACTGAAAGCTATTATGCAAATAGAAATTTATTTATTACAAGAAAAAATTACCCGCACTGGATAAAACAATATCGGCGACTGATTCGTTCCGACCAATACCAGTAATTTCCATCTTCTTAGATATTAAAGGTGGCCAATATTTCAATCGATCTGGATTGTTTTCAGGTACGACAAACGCTTCTGTTTGAAGTAACTCATTGTATACATTATCCGCATCCTCAGTATGAGTTAGAGTTATCGGCAATTCGTTACTTGAAAATATTGTACACCTATGACATGTAATTGTTTTTAATATTTAAACACCTTTAATTTATTATATTATTATTAGCAATCACACACATATAAATATGCATAAGTACCTAATATAATTATCACCCTTTATGTAATCTAATCTGCCTATTCCACCCAAAAATATCGTTTGATTTACATGTAAAATGAAAGTCCTAGGCGAGATTATTTTCTTTGGTAAAACTGATAAAAGTTCCTGCATTGTTAGCAAATCTAATATTTGATCTGGTTGAATGGTGCCAGGAGTATCGTAACACCAGCGGCTTTGTTTGTACTCGTGTTTAGTATCATCAAACCCAAATTGTGTATTCTTCTTAAATTTTTCTACCATGAGCAGATCGTTTTTGGATGTTGATGGAAAGGTTCTGCCTATATGACCTAAATTTATAGAATATATAACACTTACTTTCATATGCTAACAATAATGCAAAACTTTTTAATCGATTATATAAAATTGGATGTTGAGAGAATTCTACACTCAAGTATGATACATACTTTGCAATGTAGCGTACTTTAAATTATGTGTTATTTTGAACTGATTAATTCGAAAAGTTTCTTCAGCCTGTTTGTGCTTTTGTTCCATTTTTAATCGCAATGTCCTCAAATAAAGTCGCCATTTTCTAGGACTTAGAATAGGAAATTTCAACAAATTTAATGTTGTTCCTGGCCAAGGAGAAATAGTTGCACGTTGTATAAGATCCACAGCTTGTATTTTGCAATAATCAGACTTCAGAAGAGCATTAAACAGAGAGGATTTACCAACGTTTGTGCATCCAATAAGGTAAACATCTCCTAGAAATTAAATCATAATAAATTATAATAAATATAAAATATATTGAAACGTGTGTTTTTCTAGATAATTAATTTTGAATCCTTACCTTTGTATTTCCAGAGGTTCTGTAATTTATTTATAAGTTCTTCTATGCCATAGCCTGTTTTTGCAGATACAAGTGCCACATGTTTGATATTCTCCTTCTTGATTCCTGTATTTTCTACAGCCTTTAAAAGGCAATCTTTGATATGAGTAAAAAATTTTTTCGAATCTTGAGGCAGCAAATCTACTTTATTCCCAACAACAAATACTTGCGTGTAAGGATGCAGCACACTGTTTATTTCAGGCCATATGCTACATGGAAAATCCGTAAGATCAACCATCAGAATGACAGCACATTTCTTTGTTTTTATTACTTTTAAAAGTTTTGGATATTCATCCGCAGATACTTTTACTTCTAACGTGGTGTTATAATACTGCATAAAATGGCATCTTTGACAAATCATAACTCGCAATTCTTTCTTGCTCCTCTTTAGGAACAACTCTGAAGGCATATAACCTGGTAGAGCTTGATCCTTACAATGCAATAAGGCGCCACATCCACCACATGGTACAGAACTAATATTAGAGTTTGGATCAGGAGTTCCATAATTATTGAGCCAGTTATCATCCTGTAAAGTATCATTGTATTGCTCAACATCAACCATCCAATTAGATGGAACATTTGATAAATCTCTTTTATATGATGTATCACTTTCTCCTAAGTAATCCTTCAAATTAAATTCTTTTTCCAAATTTGCATTCTTTTCCGTTAAATATTTTTCATATAGAACTTTATACTTGTTGTTCAATGATATTATATTTTCATCAAAATTATCTTCATTTACTTTAGAAGATGTGTTCACATTACTGTACGAATCTGTACTTGCATATGGCATATGTACAGGTTTAGTTATATCTTCATCTGCATTTATATGCTCCTGCTCCAAGTGGATGTTGTTGTTCTCATTATTTTTCTCATCCAAAAGTATGCTGTAAACGGGTACGTTTGTGAGCTCATTGATTCGTACTTCTCTCTGATAATTCTCAAACTTCTTCTTCCATATAAAATGCTTCATATAACTTATTTTCACCTTATAATAATCTAAATAGTCGCAATATATCAATTTTTCTCGTAATGCTACGACTCTTGGATCGAGAGACGAGTGAATACCATTCTCCTTCCTGTCGTATTTTGTTGAATAAAAGAAAGCCTGAACCAGTTTGTATCTATATCGATAGGTTCTTAAATGACAATACGTGTTATCTGTGCTGAATTTCCACGCAGAATATTTCACAAAATTAATCAGTTTAATATTATTTACAGACAACATCATAAACGTAACATGTGTTCCAAAGTGACACAGCGTGCATTTATCCGTTACTTGCTAAAGGTTAGAATTCGTAAAAGAAACATAACCTTTTCATGATATATCATGAACCTTAGATTTAAATTTAAAACGTGAAATTGTTGTCTACTGTTTGAATTATAATTATAGTGAAATGCTGAGAATTAAAGTTAAGATATTATACAAATATACCCGTGAACAATTCAATCAATTTGATATAGCGATGGAGTCGCCTGTTTTACCGATATAACTAGCGCATTTTAATTATTTACGTTTCTGTCCAGTTTCTTCATAATAGTTTTACAGAATAAAAATTCCTTTTCAACGATTAAAATATACATGCTAATATACTGAGCCCTAGTATATTTTGTGTCTAAAGCTGAAAAAACATTAAAAAATTATAAATTTCGTTATCCATTTTACCTCAATATGGCAACGTTGAAGGTAAAAATAATGGATAAAGAGAAATCTGTAATTTTTTATTTTTTTTCCAGCTTTGGATACGAAATACACTACAAGCAGGTACATTAGCATGTATATTTTAATAGTGGAAAAAGAATTTTTATTCTGTAAAACTGTTACAGAAAAATTGAACTGAAACGAAAACGTCAAAAACGCTCGTTTTGTCGGTAATGCAAACAACTCCAGCATCTTTCTACGACATTCTATTGTAGATCCTTCATAAGACTGAAAAAACAGATATATGCATTGAAGATTGAAATTGTAAATTAAAATTTTGCCAATGAGGACAGTGGAATTTTAGCTCCTATTATTTTGATTGGTCAATTTCCGATCTTTTAATCTTCAATACGTAGTCTGATATTCCGACCTAACAATTAATATAAGTAGAAAAATTCTTTACCATTTTGCAATTTTCTGCCTATTATCAAATGTAAGTGCGCGTCGAGATAAAATCGTGTGGATATAATACATTGATAGGATATGATAATATAGGATAGTTATATAAGTTAGAATTATTCAATATATTTTCTGAATATATATATGTATATATAATATATATATACAAACTATTCGTGTAATATTCGGAATACACAGTTGGACATAAAATTCGAATACTCGATAGAGGTAACCTACGCTGCGCGTAAGTAATTTGACAACGATAATGGATAATATACAGTCGACATTTGGCTGAGAGGAAAAGCTTCCACTGTCAATTATAACATTTTTGTTTTTCTTCTATATCTTTTTGAACATAGATATAACGGGTATTTGTTCTTTATTCTTCACTTTCTCATAATACATATAGCTCCTGTGCATGCACAGCATAGCAAATTAAAATATAAAACTAAATGAAATATAAATACATTTTTAAAAAATATGGTTGAATATGAAAATTATTCTATAACCACATCAATACGTCTCGACGATGTCTGAAAGATATCTAAGAGATATCTAAATATTTAGAACATTTGTCAGATGTCTCTTAAGCGTCTTTTAAATATTGTCTTGAATATAATGTTACTATATCATTTAGGTATAGCTTTGTTTCGCGTGTGATGACAAAATAGAAGTCGTTACAGTGCCAAAAACACAATAAATAATCACAAATTTATATTACAATAAATGATTTCTAATAAAAAGTTTTTAACCCCACGAACAAAATATTTCCTAATGCATTCTTATTTTAAAGTTTTTTTTTTAAATATATTGTTAACAGTTCCACATCCTCCGCCGTATTTGATATTTAGAGTACTTTTATATACTTTTATAGTTGCCATGTCATTGCGTTGTACAGATATGCAGTCTTCTGTAAAGGTTGTCGATCCATCTTTTCGTTTCTCTTTGCCTTCTTCGTATTCTGTTTAATAATCAGAATTTATGTAAATCATGAATAGGTTCTTGTATTTTATTTAGCATTTTATGTTCCACGACATAATTGGATATGATTCTGTTCTTAATTCTTAATATCTGACCTAATGTTTTTCAATTATGCATTCGGAATACGCTCAGAAGATTCTCGATAATCACCGGATTAACTCGTTGTCGATATTTCTCAATCGTTTATCGCCCAATCACGTATTCGTTAATTTTTCATAAAAATAATTTTCGTATCTATTTAACTTTTTTATCCGAATGAGAGTATATCGATCGACATTTCGATGATTTGCCATTGTCCGCGTCGCTTCAGATTCGAGGTGTGGAAATCCTAATGGTTCCCGCCTATCCACAGCAGCAAGCGCTTTAGCATCTGTGAAATTTGCGGCACAGGTCACATAAAAGCATTATCTAGGGTGGGCAGGTTCTTCCTAGTCGGTGTCGAGGTAACACCGCAACTGATCCCCTCATCTTCAAATGTAACCATTTTCTCGCGGCTTTTAGTGGCGATGTTACAACCACCACTACTACCACTATCCAACAATCGCATCTGGTTGGCGGTGGTGATCACTGCGGTGACAATCGATGGCGTGATCGTCGTGGAAGGCCTAAGAACCGACGCGGAAGGTGGTAGCGGTACCGCCATGTCCGTTACGGCATCTGCGAGATTGAACTCGCTGACGCTACGCGGCACAAAGTATTCAAAGAGCAAAGAACTGTCCTGCTGCCGGTGTGGATAATGATGTGTCAACTGTTGTTGCGGTTGTTGCTGTTGATGAACATGATGATGCTGCGTCGGCGACAAACAGCTTCTTCTTAACGGCTGGCCCCGCTGGAACTGTTGAACGCTGGCACTCGAAGACGACGAGTTGCTCGCTGTCCTGCCAGTAGCATCCAGCGGCAACGTCTTCTTGCGTGACAGCGAATGATGGCCCGGCGACAACTTTATGGCAGTGTTCGAGGGATGGGCCAGGAGCTTGCCGTCGCCGGGGCTCCTGGCCTGATGCTGTCAGGAACCGGCCGGCACCATTGACATGGCGATCGCCTCCTCTTCTTGTTCGGACAATCGCGAATCGCTGGTGCCGCCTCCATCATCGAGATCGGCCTTGAGACCGGAAGTGGCGCCTGCTGCAAAGAAAAAGAGAGGGACCACGCGTGACTCGTGACTGCCACTCGTCTCGGCGTAACCGCGCCGTTGTCGCGCTGTTCTTTTCGATCGAACTTTTCGGAAATTCTCAGTTCCTTCGGTCGCGATTGGCATTGGTATAATATGACGACAATTTTTTTTTATTACGTAAAACAACGGGGCACTCGCAAGATAAAACCGTTCCGCAACGTATAGCGATTACGTTTGATTGATGCATATATCGGTTTGGTATCAAACTAATTAATTACAGGTTTGGTGTATGTATATATATATATTTGCTGCTGCTGCAGTTTTTAAACGCGACAAATGCGTGACGGTCGATAAAATAATCAATGGTTCACGATGCTCTCTCTCTCTCTATCTCTCGTGGAAGACTTTCATCGTTGATTCCCCACCGAATGCCTTCATCAGGGATACCTGTACCACCGATCGGTCCGACCACCACGCCCGACGACATGCCGCAGGTTCTACCGAAGACCCTGACCACGCGTACCACCTCCTCCTGGACGAGGTTGAAGCACATAGCGATCAGGCCCATCCCGGCGAGGATGTAGAGCGCGCAGGCACACAGGCTGAACTCCTCCAGGGTAGTCGAGGGCGCGTTACGTCCTACCGGCATCAGGTCTCCAAAGCCGATCGTGCCGAGGCTGGTGAAGCAGAAGTACCCGCCCTCCAACAAGCTCCAGCCCTCCAAACGATTGAACATGATCGCGCCTCCGCATATATACACTAGCATTATCGTCAGGCACAAGCTGATCGGTATCCTGACGGGATTGGTCTCTAGCATGTACGCCGGCGATGAGGATGATGATAAGGACAGCGAACACGGATGAAAGTGTCGCTTGCCGTTACCCGTTGTTACATCCTGAGTCGTAGGCAAAAACAAATTTATATGAAAGATATAAAGTACGTGATCAAATTATTTTATATGAAGAAGAAAAGATTTACATGTTACATTAAAATAGATGTACAATCCCAACATAATTATTACAATTATATATATATATAGGTATATAATTTCTTTTTATATTAAATATATGTAGAGAAAAATGAAATAGTTTAACCCTTTCGATTTATCGTTATACGTGTATAGTATCGTCACGACATTACCTGAAGTGCGGCTGTCGAACTGGTGGTAGCGTGTAAAAGACCTTCGCTACCGCAGTCGAGCAGAATCGCATTCCCAGTGCCGCGAATACCCAAATCGTCGCAGGAGCTTTCCCTGCTTGCCGAATAGTAATTGCCACCTCCCTTGGTCTCCACATGATTGTCATAGCGATACGCTTTGGTCATTATGCCGCCGACTGGGGGCGGCGGCGGTGGTTGCTGCTTTCGCGTGCAGTTATGCGGCTGCCGACATATGCGTCCATAGAGACGACGGAAGCTTCGGGCGAGCACGTCGCCTACTGTACTCAGATAGACCAGCATTAGCGGAATTCCCGCTAAAGCGTAGACAATAGTAATCAACCGGCCCCAGACTGTGCGTGGTGCTACACTACCATACCCTGAAATACCAAAACGATTGTTTCTATATATTTCGATATCTGTATCACGGGAATAAACGTTTGACTTTCGTCACTATACAAGCTAATGGTACTTGACAATTATACGACTCTCGGTTTATATTGAATGAGAGATAATGGTGTACGCGGTTTGGTGAATGATATATAGGTCGAGATGATCTTTTCGAACGCGATCATTTGAATTTGGACAAACCTATGGTCGTAATCAACGTCAGAGAATACAGCAAGCTACTGCTGAAGGTCCATCGTCGACTGTGTAACCGCCTATCCGCTTGATGCTCTCGAGACCGAGGAGGCACCTGCTCGTAAGAAGTGCGTCTGAGGCCGCGGGCCAGATTCTCCTGGAAGTCGAGGATTTCTCGGGCGGCTAGGCGAGTCCAATTTTCTTTGTAGAGCACGTTAAGATCCTCGGTGATGCTCCACAGTTTTTCGACCATGCGTGCTCTCAATTCTGTGGCAACGGAGTCGTTCTCCAGATTAGGCAGCACGTAGGAAGCCCCGTCCCATTTTGAGGATGGAATCTCGGTAACCGAATCCTACAGAAGAAACATAAATATAATTATATTCTCCATGCTGTGGAGACAATATTTCTCCATTGTACCATTAGCGAATCGAAATATTTAAGCGAAATATGATCACGTCAACAGCACGTTGCAGAAATTTCGGTTAATCAAATTTTCTTCAAATAATTTTAAATGCTTTATTGATATTGATTAACAATCGTTGAACACGAAAATGTTACATTATTTATATAACATATATATATATATATCTATATATCTAATTACTAATTGTATTTCTTCTTTTTAATTATTTTCTAATTTAAAAGTCATATCTCTAGTCAGATTCAATGCTAATAATAAATGCTAACTGATAAATTATTCGATTAAGCTTCGTAAATTTGATTTCGCTTCGTAGCCTTTATTTCACTATTTGTCGTACATTTATACGAAATCAAACTGGATGCAAAATCGTCGAATAAATTATTATCTAATCTCGAGTATAGGCGTCTCGAATGACAAACCGGGAGGAGGTGGTTTAATTGTCGTCGGTTCCGACCACTCACTGATTTAAGGCCTCCCTCGAGGGCCATAAAGGCGAACGCGCCGAGTAGGGTGTAGCCGAGGACGAGCACACATACGCCAAGACTCGCTAGCAGTCCCGGAGTCTTCGTGGAGGTAACGGTGTTGCAGCTGCAGCAGCAGCAGAGCAGCTCCGTGCCTCGCACCGATCCGCCCGCGCTATTATTGTTGTTGTTGCTGTTGCCACTTCTACCCGGACAACATCTCGGCGCTCTTTGATAATAGTCACCGGTGTTCTGCATCGTTTCGCCCTCTGATTAAATCGTCGCCACCGCCACCACCGCAGCTGCAGGTGCAGCGACCAATGACGCCGCAGCTGCAGCCGCAAGCGGTAACGTTCTAACGTCTTTCTATCGTCGTTGTACTACGATCATCGCTATCGCCATCCACCTAGTACGCTGTTTTACCTGCATCACGGTCATGATAATACATAATTAAGTACGTTTCTAACAAGGATTTAGGGCAGATTCTTGCAAATAATGTCTAAATGGACGCGCGTTGTCTCTGACAGTCGTTCTTTTGGGTTAGTTATCTTTTGTTCCGTGGAAGATAGCTTGTATATATTGCACTTTAAGAAAATAAAAAGAAGTCAATGAGACTAAAGAAAAAAAAAATGCGGGTCTACAATAGAAGTCATAAAGACTGAAGTTGTGGAAAATTGACCAATTATAGTCGATTATTCTCCTCACATTCAACTGCGATTAGTCAATTTTTTACGACTTTCAATTTTAGAACCACTACGACTCCTATTATCGTAGATCCCGCATAAGATGTTCAAATAGATTTAAAATAATAGCTATATGTATAATCGTGAACGATCGTCCTCGTTTCAATCAACTTCTGATTTCTGTATGAGGGCGTGTTCAGATTTCTACCCGGATGCTACCCGGGTATCGTGTCATCCCCGTTTAATGTTTTAAACAACAAGGATAGTGTAATATCTGGGTGGCATTCGGGTGGGAATCTAAACATAGCCTGCAGTGGGAGTTTGAGATAGCGATATGATTAAATCCACGATATGCATCTATCGATACATCTGATTATATATACTGTCATTACTAGCTAATATATATTATATCTAAGGATACATCAGTGATGAATAATTCTTTCTGATTGATTTAATAGATCTCTTCTTTTTTCACCCCACGTTCTGAACTGGTGATATAATTTGTTTCACTCTAACTTATTGCACTAGTTTAGAAACAATTCAAAATTCTTTGAAAAAGAATAGACCTTTTTATCACTGTAAATCCAAGTAAAAAGTGACTACAATAATGTGTGTAATTAATTTTCCACTTTAAATGTGTAAAATTAATTCACACATTTAAAGTAGAATATAAATCATTTTTACACGGAAAATTAATTACACACATATATCTGCAGTGATATTAGCTGGTTAATGACCTTCCTACTTGCTTCTTCATTTCGTGTTCATGCGAAACAAAAGGGCTTTTGTAAATTGTGTGATTAACATCAATCGACTAGATTGATGTTAATCATTGTTGTCTACATAAATATTTTTGCGAAAAATATTGTAAGTTTATTATTCTTATTATTATTACTTCTATATTATTATTTCTAACGTGACTGTAAATTTAGGGGACTATTATGATATAAGCATATGTATTGTATTACGTAGACCATGTATAGAATGTTGTATCATTAGATATAAGATTCGTCTATAAGAATCGATTCTGTGACTAATTGTTTGTGTAATCATTTAAATATATATCAATAAATATCTGTTTGTGTGAAAACAAAAAATCAAGGTTTAAAATCAGATATAATCAGAAAACAGTCTGCTTGTATGGAATTAATTAAGAATACGGTCTCTCATGATCTATTTCTGTTCCGATAGCTTAGTTTACAAAACGACTTTTATTCCGGTGACACGAGATCCGATGGCGCGTACCCCGTTCCGTCAGTCAGCTTCGTACATCTGATAAAGCAATCGTCACCACGTAAAGTCGGAGCACGTGCAGAAATAGCCAGCTACACGATCGACCCTTGGTATACATTTACTGCTCGCGCTCGCTCGTTACAGAAACGCGTACATCAGATGCTCGATGCATAATAGGCGCACTTGCGCGACTCGACGCGCCGGAACGTTGGAAAACGGAGAAACAGCGGCAGAAATGGAAACAGAGACGGAACACGAATTCACTATCCTAGACCGCGATAGGAATGGCTATAAAGGACTGAGAATCTGAAAGAGAAAGAGGGGAAAGAGGGTAAATGCATTTCAGAGAGAGAAAGATCGAGGTAGAGAGAAAGAGATAAGGGTCAAGACGGAGAGAACGCGTAGATCGTCGAGAAAAGCACGAGCTTCAAGTAAATGTACGTTAGATTTTCAAGATGTAAAAAACGTCAACGACGAGCCACTTACTTCGTCTAAAGAGGATGTCTCGATTGTTTTCGCATGTACGGCGAGCGAGAGACAGACATCAACGCGCAGTTGGCTAAATATGGCGAATTACTATTCGATATGAGAAATAGAACAATTATATTCTAAAGGTAAATTGTGATGTTCTATAATTATTAGAATTTAGCTAAAAAATATTAATTTCTATTCTACAAGATAAAAAAAGATAAAAAATTAATACGGAGGAAAAAGAGGACACACAGAGTAGTTACAGAGGGGAGGGGGAGGAAGAAAGAGAGAGAGAAGAAAGGACGAGAGAATAAGAGATCTGTTTGAGAGAGAATAGAAGAGAGATGTATAAATAGAATGTGTGCGAGAAGAGTAAAGAGCGAAGCGCACACACGGAATGCGTGTGCGTATGACACCGTTAACAACTGATATGTGTGCGCGTGCATATGCGTATACAGTGATTCCACGTGTACTTGTGCACGCGCGAGATCCGCGACCGTCCTAGTTGTGGCATTGTACCACGGCTACCAGCGATAAGGCATGAAATTAAATTCGACGGAATGTGGGTCGTCGTGCGGTACGGCTCCTTTTGCCACCCTCTACGTCACGTCCTGCCTGACGACAACGTCGAAGAGATACCCTCCTACCTACATGAATGTACATCGTATAAGAATGTACACCAGATAAGTGTTGTAGCAATCGCTAAAAGAACATTCTACAAATCGTTTCTATCTACTTGTTGATGTCTTATAAATCTAACCGTTTTTCATCTATTTTTCTTAATTAAATTGGAATTAATTTGTTTTTATTTTTTACCAATGAATACATGAGATTGATATAGAGTCGGCGATTTATTATAGCAAACTCGTCAAATCATGACATATTCCTGCTATTATGACATGTCGTTTTATTGAACTGCGATAAAGGACGATTTTTCTGTTTCTTCTCGCATAAATTGATAAGATATCTGTAAAATTGATATTTGAAAGGTTTTTTTTTTTTTTTTTTTGAACCATGTAATGCCGAACCATTTTTTCACGAGGCACGTGAATGATTGTAATCTCTGTCGCTGTGAATGCGCTCCGGAAGCATGTTTCCAAATAAAAAAAGTTAGAACACACTGCTCCGGATAACCCGATACTGTATGATGTATTGTCAAATAGACAATAATAAATAACTTTAAAAATACATATATATTTTATAAAAAGCACGTCAAAATCTAAAATAAATGTTTTTTCTCTTGATGAAAACCAATACTTTTCCAATTGACTGCCAATTGAAAATATACAAATATAGCACATCTTTTACTTAACTTTAAATAAATTTTATTTCAATAAAATTTCTGTAATACACAATACATAGTATAATACGTATAATCGCTAATTAAGACTGCGATAAGAAACATGATATTTTCTATCGTATCTTTGTTGAGAAAAAGATTAATTTTGATGATAGAAGAAAGAAGAGGGAATATAGAATTAAGATTGAAAATTTTGGAATATACGCAATCGTGATGCGTGAACTATCTTTTATGGTTTGCATATGCTGTGTACGTGCCAAGTACTCATTACATTAGGCACCGTGCCATAGGCAATCGTTGGCATTAGTCGACCATAAGCATTCGTTCAATTGAAATATACGCGTGAGCAAATATGAAATAATTGCAATATCAGCTATTGTAACATCGTCATAATGCATATGACCGAGTATGAGGATAAATTCGAACTTTTCTGCATAAAATAATCAAATGTGGCAAGATTAAATTGTGTTTTAACCAGGAATGACGGATTATAATTTAAGTTCATAATTAAAACAGATTTCCCTGCGGTGAATACTAATCCAAAAATATTCTCTAATGTGGGGCACGACATAATTACAAAAGAAATAGGATTGCATCTGATCTCTGAATTGTCCAATTTTTATGAATTAAGTTAATCTCTCACAACAGTAGTATTCTTAGTAATAATAATAGTGATCCGATATTATATATCAATATGAAAATAAAATCTTTTTCGTTTTAATAAGAAAGCAATAATAGAGAAAAATCATTGTCTTAATTTATATATGTCATCTAATATTTATATATATAATACCATTAAATATATATCATTTAATTTATTTAACCACATATTACTTACATATTAAATTTGAAATAATTTTAAATATTTCAATTAAATATCAAATGTAGAGTACATATAATTTTAAATTAAGTGCATACTCTCTCTCTCTCTCTCTCTCTCTCTCTCTCTCTCTCTCCATTTGCAGTCCGTTAATATACAAGCTTGAAAATATGATCAAATAAAAGCTACTTTAATGTATTTCAGATTGTATACTGCTTGTGTGTCAAAATATCGGATAGAGCCTTCTGTATCATATCTTATGCATAAAACCTCGTGACTTTGACATATAGCCTAAGTTAGCCCAAGGCGGAATGCATTAATCTGTCTACATAGCAATTCGGATCTGTCAAAAGTCAAGGCGTGCCTGCTACGTGGATTAGACAGGATAAATGATTTTCCAATATCAGTACGGTTCCTCGTAAAGCTTCCTATTTCGACAAACTATACTAACGTCTACAGAGACAGCAGACAGAGAGAGAGAGAGAGAGAGAGAGAGAGAGAGAGAGAGAGAGAGAGAGAGAGAGAGAGAGCTTATTAGTCGTTAGAGCTTTTCCGATTTCTAAGATTATTGTTTTGAAACGAATAATAGTTGCAATTAACATATTTAGATAGAATTTATACTATTTAGCGACTTAAATTTCAATAAAATAGATTGATGAATGTGGAAATAATTACAACTTTTAATTTTATAAAGAAAAATCTTAATATTGAACATATAAATTTTCTTTTCCATAATTTTTCTACATGACTAATTTTCAATTGTAATTGTGACTGTTTTTTTGAAGTAAAGATACACACATGCTTAAAATGGTTTTGATACGATTTATTTCATGTTTCATCACAAAAAAATGTGGAACGGTTCAAGAGGAACGTAATATTTTGATCACGTTTTTTTTAGGTCAGTATCAAAAAGAGA